ACTGCCTACTTTTGTTACAGGTCCTCGCGCTGCTCAGAAGGCATTCAGAGGACATCCACGCACTTGAGATCCTCCATGCACTTCACCAAGCGCTCCGCCATGGACTCTTCTCCGGAGCGCAAGGACATGCGAGGATCATAGTACTTCTTGTTGGGCTTCTCAGCACCCTGGCAACTTGGATTCTGGATAAACATCTCCAGCTACATGCTACTGTTGATTGCTACTCTTGATGGATAATCCTGTCACCGCCGTTCCGAAACATGGAGATCATCTCAAACAGTGCTGGACTTCGCTCATCAACACCAACCGGATCTCAACGGCGGGAAAGATCCTGAACATCTCGGTGGCACTTGAAACACTCGTCAACCCAGTTCCGCTGATGCCCCATTTGCTTTCCACTCAAAAAAACCAGCGTTGAGTGTTACGTGCGTGGCCTATCCGTGCTTCTGTCGTGGCATCGCTAGAAGTCGACAGGTGGAGCTGCGGAGGTACGGAGCTTCGGAGGTCATACCGATCCGGGGAGGAAATCCTATGACCCGTTCCACTTGATGGAGAACCTCCGACTCGCTCATCATATTCCTGACACTTAAAAAATGGGGCGGGCATTGACCCGATTATATAGATTGTATATTTGAGGATCTATTCCCACCACCAGGCTGCCCAGTGTACGATGATGGGGCCGGAAGTTGCAGGCCTTTCCATCTCTAAAATAGTGAGGTTCTTCTTTGCCCACAGAGCAATAGATGGTCATGGGCCACATATCCAATCCCACCGGTCGTGTTTGGCTACTTCTTCTTACCCGTTGTACATATATATATATATATATTACCGTGCCCCACGGCAGTCCGCTGTGTCTCCAGGCCGTCCCCAGCCCACCCGCACAACCGACAGACGCGCGCGGACGACGACGATTAGGTTGCAGGCCTCAGGGTTGCCGATCTGGGCCTGCAAGTAGTCCTGGCTCGCCAATGACTGGAACAGGAATGAGTTTCAGGGCCTTCGAACCACCACCAGGATTCCGATAGCAGCGGAACAAACACCCCCCACGAAGCCACGAAGGCATCGCATGGAAGTGGAGCTTCCATGGAACGTCTTCGGAGGGAGTGTAACCCCACCAATTCTTTTCGATGACAAGAGTCTTCGTCTTCGTCTCTTGGTTTGTTGCGTCTGTTCGGTGCATGGCTTGTCGACATGCGGTTGCAGGGAGATGCTTTGTCTTAATCCTGTATTGTACTGTGTGTCAACCGGAATATCAGTCCAAACTTTCAATGATTTGGTTGTTCTCTGTGGAATAATTGACGAAACCTTGGACTATCCTTCTGGTTGTGATGGTTCTTCTGATTAACAAAACTTTGGATGGTTCTATCATGGTTGTATCCTTCTAAATTTGAAGCACTTCTTCTGATTAGCTTGCTCTCACACCTTTAGTTCCGACTGCCTTTCGACTCACTTCCTCCTTCCCAGGAATAAGATCCTCGCCCATGCTCGCCTCAAATTGAGAAACACCAAGACCAAGATCCAAACCAATTGCTTACAAGCTGTCACAAATTCCAAACCAATGTGCTGTTTTGTTACTTCTTCCCATCTTCGCAATGTACATCGAATTCAGATCCCAAACTTGCTCCAACTGCATCTCTGTCTTGGGGCGGTCCTTGTTCTTCTTCTGGTACTCGTTCATGCCATCCCAGAAGGCCTCAGAGTTCCACACTCGCTCCAAAAACAAAAAGGCCTATAGCTTCCTAGCGGCCTAGACGCGCTTGGCAGCTAGATCGCTCTATGACTCGATCACGGTGTTGATGCACACATGAGGTGGTCCCTTAAAGTGTGAGTGACACGGCTTCCTTTTCGTTTCAACATCCAAAAGATCAAGGCTGTTAAGCTTTCACAGGGGGAAGCTTAACAAACACCAACAGCTGTGGTCAATTTACCAGGGGAAGCGGTCATCCCAAGGTGGTCGGACTCTCCCAAGGACGGTACACTCCCTGGAAGTCCATCATGGAAGTGGAACAAATCAGCCCCTGAAAGACAATTTTCCTTTACTTTCGGGGGTCCTGGTCAGCTTCCATGATTGGATGAGGAAGGGTAGCTCTCACCAAGAATTCTCACAATCATCCTCGGTTGCGATTTGCATCACGTCCGGTGCTTGGCACCATGAGATTTGCAGATCTTGCTTGATCTTGCACTGGCTTTATCTTGCACTCCCAGAAAGTAGGAGGTGAGAGACACCCATCACCATCCCTTAGAAGTCCCGTTTGACTCTATTTTGCCCCACTGTTTAGGGAAGAAACCCAATTCGGGTTAGGGAACACGATCCAGTTCTCCCATGCCAAAGGTCGTAGTTCGGACTTTCTCCAACCTACCATCACTGATCGCCCAAGCAAGTAACATCTGTTTACTTACTGATTTCCATCTGTTACTTACTTGGTTCAGTAACGTACTGATTTCCATCAGTTCATTTTTTTCTGTTGCTGAAATCGCCAGTCACATGCCCGAATCATGACATGCACCAGAGGGTGGCCCAGTTAGTCCCACCTCCCAGCTGCTTCAAATCGCTGCTTCGTGACCCATTGGGTGTCGGTGTCGATGTTCATCTTCACCACGCCTGCCTCGATGGCGTAGCGGATGTCCTCCAGGGAGGAGCCGGAGCCGCCGTGGAAGACGAAGGACACCGGCTTGTCGCTGTCGCAGCCCAACTTCTCCTGGAGATGAAGATTGACAAAAAAATCCGGAGATGATGAGAAGAGAAGAGAAGACATATCGAACAGAGTCACTTTCATGAAGACCTTGCATGAAGACCTTGAGAAGAAGAGACGTTTCGAAAAGAGTCACGTTCATGAAGAGGATGATGAAAACAAGTCTCTGAACATCACAGGAAGGTAGCACCATCGCGGCTCAAACACCACCGAGGCTTTTGCTGATGCAATGGTGCATGATTGCAGACTACTTTGCAGACTTTAGTACATCCAAGGCAGGATCTCACCCTCTATCCAACATGAATCTTGAAGCGCCCGGCATCTTGTGAAGCGTGGGGCGTGGGGGGGCTGGCACCTTGCAATGTTTCTTGGAGAAAGGTCGGTGACAGCTCAGTGCTTTTTCAGTTTCAAACTTTCCTCACTGTCCGCCATCCCAATGGACTTACAGAGATCGTTCCAAACGTGCGAGACAGATCTTCAACCCGGTTCTCCTTGATGTACTTCTGGGTGTTGTGCAGGATCACCGGCTTCAAGCTCACGTTGCCCGGGGCATAGACGCCGTGCACGTTGCCGAAGGCAGCGGCCACGGTGAAGTTGCCGTTGGGGATGGAGGCCAAGGCCTCATAGACCTGCCACACCTCCTGGAGAACAGCAGTTGGATGAAAGGACTGTGATGGGGTAGCTCCGCCTGCAATCCAACAGCCTTTTTTGGGAGATCCCCTGCTCCTCCTACTGAGCATAATCAAACCTGCCCTTTGAGCTAAATTAATGAGCAACCTCCTGAAGAGCAGTGGGATGGAATGGAATGAAATGGATGGTTGGTGTCGATTGGAGAGGATTTTCCAACCAAAAGCATGCAAGAAGTATAGTAGCTCCTCCTACATGAGCAGTTGGATGGATGGATCCTGGAGGCTTTGGACTAGAAGCCCAACTCATGCAGCCTAAGTAACGACGCTCCTCTTACAACTCATGCTCCTCTTACAATTCCACAATCATGTTGGGAGAACATCAAACTACAAGGGTCATCTGTCATCCACAGTCCACAGTCATCCATGACTCCTCAGGCTGAGTGTAGAGGCGGGAGGAGTCAACATCGGTGTTG